GATAGTAGGGAAAAATCCTTTGGAAACACCCTAGGTATATAGCTTTCTTCTGGAAATTAATGTGCCTTCAAGAAATGTGAAGTACTCAGTCCGTGTCTGTCTCTCCTTGCCCTTCTTTAGATTTTAAAATAATCTCTGAAGAGATTATTTCACAGACCATATATCCAAAAATTAAATAAGAGGCCTGGAGTTCACTACCTTTACATAATAACAACATGATTACATAGCAGGCTCTTAGGAGGACAAAGATGCATCAATGGTATTTCCAAGACCATTTCAGCAAGTTTTGCCAATGACACTGAACTTCAGGAAGTAAGGAACTAGAAGACGAATATTAACTCCTCTGAGGAACTCTGTCACTCTGTCAGAACAACAGTTCTTTCAAACAGATTCTTGCTCTGCATAACCATCTCCTAAACTTTAAAGGAGCTGTCTCTGCTAGCAGAGCTCTCCCTGTCTTCACTGAAACCTTTAGACACAAAATTAGGAGCTATGAGTACAGAATTTTACTTTGGTTCTTTGGTTATAAGGTGGCAACACCCTTGGAATTAAAACTGCTAGTTTATTATAGTGTCCAAGATTTCACTCCAAATAATCATACATAAAGCCCTAGGGTCCAGAGTTATTCTCAGAAAGCATCTGGGAAAAGGTAATCCTGTAGGGAGCTTAGCTTCCATGCAACTGCTTCTGCAACAAATCTTACTTTCCACCAGAACACCTCAAGTGTTATGCTTGGTCAAGCAAGCATATTTCTGCACTAAGCCTATGATCTTTGTCTGATCAAATAGTCTGCCACACCACAGACCCCATGCTGGTGACACATTTCAGAGTTTACGTGACTTTTGGCAAACAGCATTTTCTTACTCATCTGTACATAAATCACAAATCATTAGGTTTCATTCTTCAACAATTTTATAGAACACAGACAGTCAGACCATTTTGGCATTGTTTTTCTACAAGTCACACAGTATCATATGCATTCTTTTTCCAGCTAGTCTCAAATTATATGCCTCATTTCTGAATTGGTTAAAAAGGTTTCACATCAACATCTGTGTAATCATCACTATTAGTCCTGGAATCTAAAACCCCTTTTAAAATTTCCTGTCTCATAAATCATAGAAGACAGTAGTAGGACAAAGCAACCAACTATCAAGACATATATTATAGATATATATTATACCTTTATACACTTAAATATTCTGTCACTACTGCCAAGCATTATTTCAACTCAGTGACAGAATCTGAAGAAAAGTCAGCTGTAGGGATAGTAACTGGGGCTAGTACAACTCTCAAAATACTTTCACAGGCCATATGAACATTATGTGCAAGCAGGTGGCCTGCCAGGAAAGAAAGATGTTTTTTGAGAGCCAAAACGTAAATTAAGTTTATCCCTGTATTTTAGTGTTTGGGAGTATCAGAAAACTATTCTGCTGTCCACTGGAGCTGCCTGGATGAAACAAGAAGGCTACTTCACTTATTACATTTTTACAAAAATTCCTCTGAGGAAGTCAAAAAGCCATATGGGAGTTCAACACCAGGCATTGTACTGATTTTGGCTGGGATAGCTAACTTCACAGCAGTCAGTATGGTGCCATGCTCTGGATTTATGACCGAAAGTGTGGATAACACAGACATGTTTCAGCTGTTGCTGAGCAGTGCTGGCACAGCGTCATGGCTAATCCTGCCTCCCACATTGTCCCACCACTGAGTCGTCTGGAGGTGCACAAGAAGCTGGGAGGGGACACAGATGGGACAGCTGACCCCAACTTACCAAAGGGAGATTCCACACCATACAATAACTGTGCTTGCTAATAAAAGCTTTGGGGAAGACAGAGGAAATGGACACACACATTCAGTGCATTTGTCTTCCCAGGTCTCCATTACATGTAATGGAGCCCTGTTTGCCTGGGGACGGCTGAACCCCTGCCTGCCCACGGGAAGCAGTGAATCAATTCCTTGTTTGGCTTTATTTGCGTGGCTTATTTTCCTTTGCTTGTGTGGCCTTTACTTTGCTTGTTAACCTGTGTCTATCTCAACCCACAAATTTTCTAACTTTTACACTTGCAAGTCTCTTTCCCATCCCACTGCTAGAAGACGAGGGAGTGGCTTTGTGGCACCGTGTGGTGCCTGCTGGCCAAGGTCAACTACAGTGCTGGAGGTGAGACAGCTGTAACTACCCTGAGTATCTGAATACTTTACACTGTGATGCTGTCTTCAGTTTATAACTGTGTTAACCTTTAAAAATGAAACTATCCATCCTCAATTAATGTTTCAGAATGGATTTAAAAAAAAAATAACAGAAAATCTATGGGAGGAAATAGATTTCCTCCGCAGAATACTTACAAAAATTTTAAGACTCTCTGTCAAGAGAGTTTATACAAATCCATATTATGGCTGTCTTAAAGGAAAGAATTTCAGGTTTTGCAAGGGCTGGTCCCTTTACTGTCAGTACTGGGGTCTTTTTTAGTGGTTCTTCTGTCCCCCAGGGGTGATCTAAGAAACATTTGGTGTAATTGCTTCTACCAGCTGCTGTAGATCTCTATACCAAGACACTGACAACAGAGACTCCACTTCCTGCTTCCAGTGATCTAAGTAAATAGCATTTGAGAAAAGCATGCTGCTAGAAGAGTAATTAAGGAAGAAACGTGCAAATGAAAACATTAGGATGAAGTAGAAGAGTGTGGCTTGGATGGAGAGAGGAAAAAGAAAAGCCATTGCATGATTCGCTTTGGTGGAATGAAAAGAAGCCTGAGATTGGAAATGAAACAGGGAAATAGGGAAATTTTAGAAACTAGAAAACCCCAGAAAGCAGTGCCAGACTTTATGCACCAGGAATAAAGAAACAACCAAAAGCAGCTGGAGAGGATTCCAAGATACATGAGCCTCATCATTTTTTGCTGGTCAGTACCTGATAAAACTGTAAAAACATCCTAGTAAAACATGAACCACAGTTCCATCAACTCATCTATACAGAATCTGCGGGTTATCATTCTCCAGTGATTACTCTAAACACATCTGACAGTAGATCCAAGAGCTCCAACCTTAATCCTAGTAAGACTGACACCTTTATGACTTTTCATGACAGAATTTTCTACTTTCAAAGTTATCAGACTTAAACTCTTACACACTATTAAAGTTGAAAGCTCAGCACTCAAAATCAGGAATTAAAACATTACTGCCCCTCAGGCAACACTAATTCAGCCTTCTAACAAAGGATGTTACAATACAATACCATTGCAGAATACCATGAATAACATTCAACACAATTTGAACATGATATTTGCATCCTTTTTTCTATCTCTGGAGATGTTTTAGAAATCTGTAGTGAAAGAGTTGGTGTTCATCACAGGTCTAGAGGGCAATTATAAATGGATAACAGACACAGCTTATGGTCAAACTACTCATGGTAGTTCCCTGTCTAGATTCACTTACAAACTATGGTCTTTCCCCACAAGCCACTCTGCGGAACAAGAGTCAATAATAAAAAACGCACAGGAACCCACAACCTCAGACCAAAAATGTCACAGCTATTTGATCCTCATTTTTAGGGGGCTTTAATTGAAAGGATATTTTTTCAGGAATCCTGAGCACATAGGCATGCGATTGGAAATCAATTAGACCAATCATTCAAAAATAAAAACCTGCAACGTAAAACTAATATTCTCAGATGTCAGTCTGGATTTAGTCTACGCAATCTGAGTGGACATATTTCAAGTTAATCTTTCAAATTTTCTGCTATGCAAATAGAAAGCCAAATTAATTAACAGCCCTCCACCATACAGGAGTAAGGTGTTTCAAGACAGTTACTGCCTATACCTATGTATACCAATATTTTTTAAAAAATAGGTATACATAGGGATTACATTTTCTAATTTTTTTTAGTTTTACATTAATTAAAATATAAACTTAGTTCTTAATTTTCAACCTCAATGCTTTTATAGTGATGTGTGTGAAAATTCATAATCATACATCCAAGTAAATTCACTGACTTTCAAAGGTACAGCAGCAATATCTACCTTTAAAGAAAACTGACCGTTAACACTGGCTAAGTAAAACAATGTAAAGTTCTGACAAAACAAAACACTATGAAAAACTGAAACAGTTTGTCTTCAGTCCTCTGTGCCACAGTAACACACTCCAGTTACGAGACCATGAATAATCAAAAATAACCAATTCAACTTCTCTTCATAGGGGATGCTGCCAATAGGATCTGCCTCTGAGCTACCAATGCAGGGCAAAAGGGCGAACAACATTCATACCTAGGCACAAGGCCTCCACTGCAAAAATGTAGATCCTGTTCTCAAAGACACTATAAAATAAACTCGGTATAGAGAAAGCAGGCCATCTGCACCACAGACTTCCAGTCTTAGGAGATGCCACTGTGACAAACTGCCTAATCACAGCTCTTGACATTTTGAAATGAAAAAAGCCCCATCCCCATGATTACCATATATTACACAGGCTGCGGTGCAGGAGCTCATCCTTATCACAGGAAACTTCCATTTTCCAAGTTAATGTGTTTCTTGTTACCCCTGGTTACTCAACCGGTGTTTTCGCTGAATTAGTCGAACCGAACCGTTATTTGTCACAATGCTGTCACTTATGAAATTCAGTGTAATCCTTTCACTCTGCAGGAAATTTTATATTAGAAAGGTAATAGTCCTAAGCACAAATCGCAAGTCAGGGCTTGCGCTGCCAGGAGCTGTTCCATTTGCAAACCAGCGTTTTCTATTAAAGAAAGATTCGACCAGGACAGCACCTGAGGCGAAACGCAGGGTTCACGCTGCGAGCGCAGCCAAGGCGCGCCAGTGCCCGCGGCCGCGCTCCGGTGACAGCCCGTCCCTCCCGATGGCTGACAGCTCCTGCTGGGGCCCTGCCTCGCCTCCCGGCCCGGGGCTGCCTCCACGCAGGGTCACCTCTGCGCCACAGCCCGGGGAGCGCCCTCCCGGAGAGCGGCCCCGGCAGAGCCGGCTCCCTGCGAAGGGCGCGCACACACCTACCGTCACCGTCTCCTTGGCAGCGGCCGCCACGGGGATGGGGAGCAGCGCCCGGGCCCCGCCCGGCTCGGCGGCTGCCGGCTCCCGGGAGGGCTCCCGCCGCCGCTCGGACAGCCGGTACCCCGCGAACCCGGCGAGAGCCGCCCCCGCCGGCGGCGGCGCCAGCGCAGCAGGGAGCGCAGGGCGGCCATAGCCCCGCTCCGCCCCAGCGCCCCGCGCACCGAGCCCCCGGTGCCGGCAGAAGCCTCGCGAGAAGCGGGGAAGGGGGTGGGGAACCGAGCGGGCCCTGCAGTCCCCGCCCCGCCCCGCGCCGCCGCCGGGCTGCCCGCGGGCGCTGCTCCGCGCTCCCGGGACAGGCGGCGGGACGTGGCCAAGTTAGCGGAGATACGAGGTGGCCAGACCGAGCACGGGGATCCGGCACGGAGCTGGACCCGCGCAGCGTGAGCCAAAGTGGCGGGGCAGGGTGCCGCCTGGGAGCTGCCGTGAGCGGGGCGGGCTGTGCGTGCGCCTCGCTGCCTGCTGCGCGCACGGCGGGCACCGCGTGTGCTCCTCAGCGTGCCCCCGAGCCCCGCTCCCGGGGCAGCGTGCCGCACCGTGCCGCCGTGTGTCCTTGCCGTGTCAACAGCCTCTCCTCTGATACCTATTCTTGGCGACAGCTAGCTTCCTTTGCATAATCAAGAACTCGTTAAAGACCCGTTGTGAAAGCTGAGCATGGTCTTTTGTCTCTGCTTGATATTGATGGGCAAAAAATCTTGTCAGTCTTTTCATGTTAGGGCATTCTTCCATGGTACAACCTGCATCACAGCCTACATTACCTTGAAACTTTATGAACTGCACACAAACATTTCAAGACACAGCACACCTTATGGCGCTTTTTTTTTTTTTTTTTTTTGCAATGGTACGGTCTCAGTCTTTTTCTTTTTTACATAAGTACATTTCCCCCAAGTTTCAGCCACTTATCCTTTCCCCCCTTCCCCCTCGCCCAATCTCTAATGACTTTTTATATTATTATGAGCAAGATTTTGGAAAATATACAAATGATATTTTGATACCTTTTTAGACACTCTCATGCATTTTCAGTTACATTCAGTGGTTATGTCAAGGAGTCAGTGTGGCTATGTTTGTCAACTGACAGTCTGTCAGATCACACAACTGTAAGCATGGCCAAGGTTGAATTACCTCAGAGCTATGGCTGGAAAGGCAGGTATCTGGGCTGAGTGATGGATTTCCTGCATTTCTTTCAAAATTTTAGAATACTGTAAGCCAATTCATTAATCAAGTAATTCCCTTGACTTCATTATTCCCAACTGTCAAAAACTATTTTTGGTTGTTTTTTTGGGTGTTTTTTTTTTTGCTTTTTTTGGGTTTTTTTTGGTTTTTTTTTTTTTTTTTTTTTTTTTTTTTTTTTTTTTTTTTTTTTTTTTTTTTTTTAATGATCTACTCCTTTATTTTATAAATACTTTATATGTATGACTGCCAGGCACAATCCTTGTCCGCAAGTCTGAATTACATCTGTACTAAATTACTAAAGACCAATATAGAGACCAGCATTTAGGAGTCAAGGCAATAATAATTTCTGATGCTTAGCATGACTGAAACACGAATACTTGCAAGTAAATGACCAAGCATCCAGTCTGGAAAATTTTGTAGAATGTGGCTCTTGGATCTTATCAGTTCTAGCTGCCTCATTAGGAGACACCATTTACCGATAAAATTACCTTTTTCAAATAGTCTACCTTTTTGGTTTGACTGGAAGAGAAAACACTTTTGGTCAGTTTGGTGTCCCAATGTAAACCTGTCAAGAGCTCATCAGTCACCTGAACTGTAGTCATGAATCATGAGTTATCTCCCTGTTCACACTGTTTCCCTGAATTTAGTTAGCCACATTTTATTGACTTTTCAGTAACACCTTTAAGCTAAAATTTATTTCACTTCAAAAATCCAATTCACATCTGCAACTACTTACCCAGGTAATTTTAGGCAGAACTTCCCTGGTGAAGTGTTTGCTTAGGAACAAGAGCAAAATTTATTTGTGCAGCAAGTCTAAAAACATACACTGTCTGAACATCTTGCATGCCGAGATTCAGAAAGCATGTAATTTAAATAAGATTGTTTTAATCCAATTATTCACTTACAGGACTAATAAAAAAGCTGCCAAATTTGAGGTATTTGAATATTGATACATGGAAACAGTCTATTCTCAGTGGATGTGGCCATGTAAATTTGTGCTCATTGCAATAGCTTCTCTGTTGCATTCTGCATATATAAGGGTTATTCATGTGTGTCCACAAAAACAGAGACAGTAAGATCATGAATCTTAAAAAGCTCTATGAATTTTTGTCTTCAATTAAAGAAATAAAGCATGAAGGTGTAAGAACTTCCTTCCCATAGGAAAAAAAAATTCATTGTTGCTTTTTCCTCATCTGAGTTTTTTAAATAGTTAAATATAAATATACCTGTATGTATACATACCTGCTACTGTATCTGATCAGAAGAGAAAGTTTTCAATGTTTTTAAAATCTGCATGTATCGCATTTTAAAGGTCATCAGATTATGGCCTAATTTGTACATGGAACCTTGGAAATGTTCTGTTCTTTTCTTCCTGTTGAAGTCTGCACAAGTACATACCTTTTTCACTCAGACTTACAGGGCTTAGAAAGGCACTCATTGTAAATTGTGCATGTTCTGCTCACCTTCCTGAAAGCAGAGAACCATATTTTTGTGTCCAAATCTGAGAAGAATCTGAAACTGGCCATGATACGTAGGTATCTCCAGCTGGACATATCTCTTTGTGTGCTTCTCCATGGTTTTTGTTCCACCAAACGTTTGCTTTCTTATGTATTCATGAACCCTCCCTTTCCAATATTTTATTATATCATTAAAAATTTATGGCTGGCACAGGACTGTTGTGAGGGAGTTCTAAAATTAACAAAGGTGCAATAAATTGTAGGACCTAAAGTTTTATAGCTAACAGGAGTTTTATAGATATGTAGATCGATCTGTCTCTCCATATATGTACAGACTATCTATGAAAAATTTCAGCCATTACATTCTCCACTCCTTTGGTAGCCACTAGGTTCTGCTTATGACAACATGCTATTCTTAGGAAATATACAGTAATTGTATTGTCTATAGAAGTCCTAACTACTTGCTATGGAAATAAAAACTTGACCACATATGTATTTGTTCAATGACACTGAGAGTGCCGTCTCTAGGAAGTATACGTAGAGTCGATTAGATTGTACTGTATACTTTAAGTTGAATTATGTACTCTTGTAAAAAAACTCTTCAAAATTATTTAACTTCCCATGGTATAGTTTCAGAAGGTGCAAAAAAAAAATCTTTAGCGTTATCTTTTCCTGTCACATGGCTAGTGCAAACACACACACAAAAAATCTTATCTTTTTGTTTCTTTTCTGGTACTTTATAAAACAGCATAACCGGTTTAGTTCCCAGACATTAAAGACTCCACTCAGAAAAGATCAGTATTATGTATTCCGCTCTACTTTAAATGTTCCCATTATATAACAGGAAAGATTTAGCCATAAGGGTCTTTCAGTATGTGATTGCTGAGGACTTTTTTTTTGTTCAAAATAACCCCAACCCCTCTCTACGGGAGACAGTGAACGTTATCTGAGCTGTAGACCTCTCTACTGTTTGTAGGAGTCAAGGGTACTGCTTGGACCCAGGAACAGTATCTATATGGGAGCATCTTTAGGCTTAGAACAATATACCTCCTACCATCCTGCTGCATGTCCTGCAACTTAACAGCTGTGATGAGCAGTTTGATCTTGACCTGCCAATCATGTCAATAAAAATACTTGATGTTTGTTTCAAACGTTTTTGGTGTATTTGAGTAATCAGTGAACAGGCTATTTGAGAAATAGGTGCCATATAGATTATTCAACTTTGATCTATTTCTTTGATTTAGCACTACAATTAAGTAGATTTGCTTCAAAGAGAAAGCTCATTGGTTGATGTTTTACACTGATGTGATAATGTTTACACAGATGTGCTTTGAAATCTTGATTATGGTGGATTTTTGGGTCCCACCACATGACAGGCTCCTGTTATCTGAAAGGTAAAATAATATAACATCTATCTGTAACTGCCTTCAGAACAGGTCTGCCTGTGCTCTCCTCTGAGGTGATTTATCTGATCATTGTATTTAGCATTAATTTTTTCAGTTTTAAATCCCTCCACAGTAAATCACTTGCTTTAAAGCAGCCTTTTTATAATTCAGGTGCACACAGGGGCAGTACTTAGGACTGCAATGATGAAAAGGTGTCGCATTACCTGCTTTAAAGCACCTGCCAATTAATTAGCCCTATACTCTCCATAGCAAATAAAGGTAAGCAGTCAAATCCATTTGATCTCTCAGATTTAGACTGTGACTGAAAAGACCATGAAGCAAGACGGGAGAACTAATCTCTCATGATTCTCTGCAACTTTTTTGTTTAAATGAAACCTTAAACCACCAAATGATTCTCTTGAACTTTTGAAAGAATTAACTATGAAAGATCTTTACATTTTATACTCTAATACCATGTTTTAAGATTGGCAAAGAACTGCATATCTTAGATGCTGAGATAGGTCATGTCATTTAAGCCCTAAAATTCATTAGACTTTGCAGAAAAGGCAGGAAAGATGGCAAAAGTCAAACTCTTAGATTTAATGTAGCATTGTTTTACCATTGGTGAATATGTTTTCCACCAAAATATATTTTCCTATGTGAACAATTCTACACATGAAAAAAGTGCACGTGTTTCTCTGGAACAAGACAACAAAGTCCCAAACGGATTAAAAATGTTGTAGAACTACAGGAGGGATCTTTCATTAGATAATATTGCTAATTTATTATGCTCACAGACCTTGGCTAAGGGCCCAATGAAAAACCCCAAAGAAGATGGGTTAGGGTCACAATCTTTCTTCTTCTCTGCAAAAGTTTTGAAAATATTTATCCCAAACGATGGGCCTGCCCATTTATGTTTTTAAGACCTCTTGTCAATACCCAAATACTATAGATCAGTTTAGTGTCACATTAATGATAAATGCGAGGGAGAATTTGCAGAGGGAAAGCACCTCCCTGACTATGCCAATTTCTTTAGAAATTCCCCTCCTTGTAGTTGAAGCGATAAAAGGGAAGCGT